TACTAATCCCTTTGTGCATCTTCCCAGTTGCAAAAAATTGCTTGACAGCATCACAATCATTATCACCCACTTCCTGCCAATGTTTAGTATAAAACTCAACTGGAAATCCATCCACCCCGGGGTCTTTTCATGAGGCATATCCTTTATTGCACTTTGGATCTCCACTAATGTAATCTCCTGAATGAGCTTCTCTTTCTGACTTAAAGTGAGGCATGGACCTTGTTGAATAACTTCTGTGTTTGGACACCTGTGAATACTGCCTCTTTCCCCCATGAGTTTAGTAAAAAAGGAGATAAACTCATTCTCCAGTTGTATAGGATCTGTCACTTTTGTTCTATCCTCTCTATAGATAGCTGTGATTGCATTCCTACTAGTCCTCATCTTCCATTGAGCATGAAAGTACTTTGAGTTTGAATCACCACATGTGATCCAATCAGCTCTGGACTTCTGTTTAAGTACTTGTTCCTCTATATTGCTCCATTTTTCAACCTCTGCCAAAGCCCNCCTCTGCCAAGGCCCTTCTTTCCTGCTCTATCAGATCTTGATCCAAGTGTTGAACCATAAGTTTTGTCTGTATAACTTCAAACTTATGCCTCGCATGGTTTAGGTGTTGTTTGTAGGAAACCATATAAGCATTCAATTCCTTCAAGTCTCCCTTTAATATCTTCAATCTTTGCCAAACTTTGTGCATTGGTTCTGCCTGTATATTTTGCTCCCAAACTCTATTGACAATCTTTTTAAACTCAGCATTCTCCATAACTGAACTATACAATTTGAATGGTTTAGGGTGTAGACTCCTCATCTGATGTCCTTGACTGCACTTGATCAACAAAGGAGAGTGATCAGACACCTCTGGATTTAAGAACTCAGCTTCAATATGACCATATTGTTGCATCCAATCAAAATTTCCAAATGCCCAGTCAATCCTGCTGTAAACTCTTTTATCGAGTTCTTGCTTGTTACACCAAGTATAATACCACCCCAAACTTTTCAATTGGGTAAGTTGCAATGTGTTTAGTAAATCTTGCAATCCTTGTGTCTCACCTTGTGTAACTGGGGTTCCAATTCTGTCATCCGTGTATAAAACATTGTTAAAATCACCACATAATAACCAACAATCTTGAATTGTACTCCCTAACTGAATAAGTGTCCTCCACAATTGACTTCTCTGGTTGTTGTCATTACTCGCATATATCATGGTTACTGTAGTTCTAAAGTTAGAATTTGGCTCATGTACTTCATAGTGAATAAACTGATCCTCAATCTATATAATATGGACATTTACATTCCCTTTCCATAATAGCCAAATCCTACCATTTGGATGTGCATTGTAATTGCAACATACATTCAATTCCCTTGCTACTTGACTGATAATTCTAGCAGATTTTCTCTCCTTTACTCTTGTCTCCAAACATTCCATTACATCCACCTTATACTTCCTCAGAAAAAGCCTAAGCTCCTTCTGTTTGTGGGGCTTATTTAGCCCCTTTATATTCCAAGTACAAAGGTTCATTTCTGGGTGAAGCTGTATGGGTCAGCGTCCCTTTGGAGTGTTTGTGGATCATTCATCTGTAGGACCTCAAATCTATTGGCAGAAGTAAAAACTATAGATGTCTCTATAGCTTTTCCTTTGTTAACATACTTTGTCCCTTCATCATTCCCCATCTCTCCTTGAGTGCCCTCAGCAGCTACATTTTGTTTGGGTGCTTCAGTTCCCATTCCATTTGGTACAGGATTGGTATGAGTATTCTTCTCTACTTGCATCCCAGCATTCTCATCATTTTCTCCTCTATTCACCTTTGGTACCCATTTTAAGTTCTCCTTGTTCTTGTTCTTCTGTTTCTGTGGTTGCTTCCTAATTTCTTCTCCCCCTTCATGCTTGTTCTTCAACCAACAGTCTTCAGAGTTATGACCAAACCTTACACAATCACAGCAAAACTTTGGTTTCCAATCGTACTCAATTTGTTGATTGATTATCCCTCTAGAAGTTTGGAGATTCACACTGTCTGGCAGGGGTCGGGATATATCAGCTTCAACAAGTACTCGTGCAAATGATATCTTCTCTAACTCAGCAGTAAATTTATCAGTGTACAGAGGTTTGCCCACTGCACTGCCTAATTTGCTCAATACATCTGTGGCCCAGAATCTCAATGGTAGACCTGGGAATTTGAGCCATAGTGGAGTTTTACTCATACAGCTTGGGTCAAATTTGAAATCCACACTCCAACACTGCAGAATAAGAGGTTTATTGTGGTATGTATATGGACCATTATGAAGAACTAGGTCCCTATCTACCATATTTTGGAATCTAAACACAAAATTTCCTTCATCATGATAAAGGATTTGAGGTTGGTTAGCAAAATCCCAGACATTTGCAATGTAATTTTCCATCGCTTTCTCATATGGATTATCCCCCAAAACATAGCCAATTAGGGATGTACTCCAGTAATTCTCCTGTTCTTTTGTTTCTTCATCATCAATTTGCACTACAACAGTACCATCGCGAATAATAGGGGGTATGTAATTCAATGCCTTACCCTTTTTAGAACTCCTATTGTGATACCTAGCTGGTACTGCTTCCCCCTCTTTGTTCCCAATTTCTCTGGTAGGTTGCACATTCCCTGTTGTTGAGAAATTCAGTCTGCGATGAACTACTTCAGTGTTTTCCTTCATAGCAGGTTTCACTGTAGATTCCCCCTTTTCATTCTCACTTTCCTCCACGATTGGTTGAAATTTTTGTGGTAGAAAGCTTCCAAACGTCATAGGCCTCAATTCCTGTTGAAACCTAGTATCTGGCGTTACTATCTTCTCACCTTGAGTTGGGTTTTGAAACACTGTAGGGGCACTGCCCATACCAGTTAACCACCGTCCTGTTTGTACCTGAGCTGGTGTTACTAAACTTGCATCATTATCCTTCTCTCCCAATGGCGATGGGAGCTTCTTCCGTTGTCTAGCCATGGCCGATTGCGTATGTTAACTAACCTTGCTAATCATGCCCCGAGAGTTTTATTTGCTAGCAACCCTAGGTTGACACTTGACTTAACCACTTATTCAATTACATTGTTGTGTGAATTTTTATTAGCTTGTTTGAATTTAATATCTATTTCTACCACACTCATTCTAATATAATATTGATAAAAATTTAAAAACTTTCTCATCTCAAATTCAAATAATTTTCATCATTCTATTTTCTAATTTGGACCACATTTTAAAAAAGTATGTTATGCTTTCAAATTTAAATTAACTGCACTCAATTCAAATGTTAATCATAGAAAAATATTTCTTAATTATTTGAACACATTATATCTAAATGTTGCAGTAATATTTACGTATAAAATATTCGTTTGCATGATTTATCAATATTAATACGACTTTGTTATTCTTATTATTAAAATATTTTTCTTGATTATTTAATTTTTTTTACCTTATAAATAATTTGTATACTTTATGTAAGATCTTAATTTGCTGCTTGAATTTATTTAATTTTTAAACTCAATAAATTTTTAATATCGTAAGTAAATTTTAGTTTTATTTTATAGCTCCAAAGTACAAAGTCATAGCTTATCTCAATTTATGTCTTTCTATATTTTTTATTTTTTTTATTCTAGTTTTTTAATTAATTTTTTACCTCCATATTTCTAGCTAATATAGAAGAAAATCTATGAGTGAATCAATATATAGACATATATATATAGATACAAATATACATATAAATATAAATATAGATATAAAGATTGGATTTGTCTAAGATCTATTTGGATTATATATAAGATTTATTAAACTACTTTCATTAATTATGTTTTCATTTATAATTTTTAATTATTAATGTTGTCCTAAAATTGTCAAGTGGCTTTATTTTAGCTTGTCACTTGGTTTAACCACAATGCATACTAGCTACTCTCCTTTTAATAGTATAATAATATAAATGTATACTACTTTTCTTTTAATATAATATAGATAGATACGCCGGGTAAGCTTGCCATATGAATTGTCTATATTATAAATGGTTAGGGGACTAATTTATAGTAAACCCGATAACAATAGCTGTTTCATTGCTTTGTTTATTGCCTGTTTCTGTAGTGATCACATTTCATTTACCATGTTGGGATATTTTATCATCTCTTGTACATCTAAATATTTCTGGTCCCAATTCTCAAACCTAACTACTCCCACTACTACTACCTGATTTTTCACTGTTATGGATATCTTTGGATTTTAACTTTTTCCATATGAAAATGTGTAATACATAAAAACAACTAATGGAAGTGATAATCACCAATTTGTCTGAGTGTGTCACGTATTAAACAGCCCTTATTAGTATCGTTCTAACAAACTTTGATTTAATGTCCATTTAAGATTGACACATTATTGAAAACTAGGGATTGAAAGCAACACATGGCACATCTTCCACATGAGCCTCTAATTAATTGCTCATCTTAATACAATCAAAGCGTTTCCTTTTCTTGTACTTTAACATAAGGGCCACTTCTAATATTTATCATGTAGAACTAAGTTGTACTGCTTTGATGCTCTAATAAAAAACAAATTAATCAAATTATAGATCCTATAGAAATTCCTAATTCCATTTGCAAATTTAAAAAGTGAAAAATTGAAAACATTAAAATGGTAATTGAAGAGATATGTATATAATCGTAGCTTTTATGTTTTAAGATCCGGCTAGAAAAACCATAAAAAAAGAGTTGTTATTAATAAATTAAAAATCTCTACAACTTTACACTTGTACCCAAATCATATTATAATATATTTTAAACAATGGGGAATATTAATTAATTTGAGCCGATTAGTACGAGAAAACTTTGGTAGCAAGCATGCTAATTTTCTACTAATATATCAGTGGAAAGTATTTATTTTCAAAAGTACGGAAAAGAATATTAACAACATTCAACAAAAATTACAATTAATTAGAAACATATAGTACCACTAATTAATTAAAAAAAGAAAAATAAGAGGAAGAGAAAAAGATCAACAATAAAGAAAGCCGAAAAATTTAGAAGCAGAGAGAGAAAAAAGCGAATTACAGAGGAGTTCTTCTGTCATCTCTCTCTCAAATGTCGACGAAACCCTAGTTATCTCCGTCTCTCCAACTCACTTTCTGCGAACACACACAACACATACACACACTGTCTCTCTCCAGTTACATTTATTTCCTATTTTAGGGTTTTTTCAGCTTCATATACATGTACAACTGATAGATTCATAGAGAGAGAAATGTACAGGGATCGAGGGGGCGGTTCATCGAAGTCGGAGATCGTTGGTGGACCGTTGGATCGGAAACGAATTAACGATGCGTTGGATAAGCACTTGGAGAAATCGACACCTTCCACATCTAGAGCCTTCAAGGATAAGGCTATTCCCTCTACATCCGCCGGTTCCGGTGCCGGAAAATCGCATCAGCAGCATCTCGATCATCGCGCCACAAAAAACAAGTGTTCAGATGGTAAGGCTTTAATTCCTTTTTCGTTGGGAAAAATGTTTTTTTTGCTCATTTTCTATGTTCGCGCCACAAAAAACAAGAATTATTTTATAGTTGAATGCGTTAAATTTGCTGATAATCGAGGTAGTATTATAGCTGACAATGGTAAATTATTCATTTTCTTCCTGATAATGGAATGTAGATCCGCTAGATGCTGCTTTAGCTTTAAGTCTTTAACATATATTCTTTAATTTGTCGAATGTTGTGAAGTGACTGTCTTTGTGATTTTTCTACTGCTAGGCTAGAATATATTATGCTTTAAGTTTGATGTTGTAGTGAGGGCGAGAGGTGGCGCTACGAAGTTGCTCCTGTTTATGAAACGTGTAAAAAAGCCTCTTTACAGATATGCAAGGAGAAGAGTGCGCACTGTATATGTCACTCTAGCTCTGGTGGTCTAGCTGCATAGTTTGGTAGGATTTGGGAAGCATTTCATGCCGGGATAATAACCCTTTTAAGTTTGATGTGGTATTCTGGTCTTTTGTCTTGTAATTGCGGGCATCTTGAGGAGATGTGAAAATATGATATTTTTTTATTTTGAGTTTGAATCCACTTGTGGGGAGGTGAGGAGAACAGTGGTAAGCATAAAACTCAGTTTTGTTAATTGTTAAAGTAAATTCAAAAGCTGTTTTAACTTTTACGGCTCTTCAGAATCCTTTTCTTCTTAGATGGATATATTTAGGGTCTTCTTTGGCACATTTTCAAGAATTTTAGAGTTGGCGCTGCTTTCTGTTTCGGCTAAGATGTGATTTACATGTTTGAATGCGATAGAATATGCTTGTTCTGTAAAGAGCATCATGGAATGTGTTCAGGAAAAAATTATCAAGTGTCAAAGAGGGTGAATGGATGGACTAGTTGTGACCATCTTCTTTTGATGAAGAGTTGTGATCATCTTCTTATTCTGCGAGGTTCTTTGTGCGTTATCTCAAATTGCAATCTAGCTAATTTGGATCTCACTTGGGTGAAGGAAAAACTTCACAGGGAATATCCTTTCTGTGCTTCATTATTATTAGTGGCTTATGATGCTTTTGTGGTATCCAATCAGAAGCTCGGACTTGCTTGCTAGGTTCCATCTTCCATGAGTACATGTAGCGTTGTTACACATAGTTGCATCCTAATGTTTAATTGCATTTACACCAGAGAGAATGTAGTAGAGTTACAACTGGTAGTAGAGGTCGTTAATATATTCGGTTGCAAAACCTTTGGACTCAGTTTATTTCTGAAATTCTACTACTCCTTTGAGATCAGCATTCAAGTACAATTTCCGTTGGTTCATCATATTTTTTTCTTTTGTTTTTGATAAATGGTTCATGATATTGGCTCGTGACAAGCCATAAACTAGTTTTTCTGTATGAAATTCTTAACATTATTGTAGTGATGGCATACTAGGTAGACCTAAGATATTTCATTTTTGTCTCTTTTGCATTTCAAGCTAAGTATGGGTGTACCCAATATTGTGTCGTTTGCAGATGAATCTGAAACAGACAGTGAAGAGTCTGATGTTAGTGGTTCTGATGGGGAAGATACATCATGGATTTCTTGGTTTTGTAACCTGCGTGGAAATGAGTTCTTTTGTGAAGTTGATGATGAATACATTCAGGATGATTTTAATCTCTGTGGATTGAGCAGTCAAGTGCCGTATTATGACTATGCACTTGACCTTATCCTTGATGTTGAATCCTCTCATGGTAAGTATATTTGCTTGTTTAGAGTACTTCCTATACCACGAATTATGAGGAAGCTTCTTTATGATCATATCTTTTCACCCGAATGATGTGGTAGCTGATCTTCTGTGGATAAAAGGAAGATGAAACTACATGATTGCTAATTTTTTTTTTTTTTTGGCATGTGGAACTCATGTTTCTTTCAACAATCTACATCATGTTGATTTTCATGTTAAGTGTATATGTACATAGTCGTCGGCTCAGGTATGTTTTGGTATTGGGGTGTGCATTTATTAATTCTGGGGGAAGATACTGAATGGTTTCTTACATCCAAGAGTGTGGCATAATGGTCAATGAAGTGAGATGGAAACCGTGGGAGACCAAAGTTCAAATCTTAGTAGAGGCTAAGACGTTAGGTGAATTCTTTCCATCTAAGTTTTGATAGGCAGAGTTACTCGGTACTTGTGTTGGTGGGAGATAGCAAGTACCATCACCTCTTGTTTTCGAACATCTTCTCCATGCCAGCTTAGTAGAAATCCCTATTTGGCTTAGGCATTTTGGGGGTCCAGTTGACCCCCAAAATGTTGAATAAGAAGCTCCCGATCTTGGCGGTAAAGCTGCAGTGAAGGTAAAGCTGCAGTGAAGGAAAAGGGTACATCTGCTACATATACGAAGACCTCTTATTTGAAGGCTCTCATGTGTTAAGTTTGCTTCTTTGGCCACCTGCCAAATGAAACACTCTATCTTAGGGGAGGGGCTTTATTTTTCCAGATGCACTGCAATTGCCAATTAGTATTGAGAGTACTTGAGCTGCTGGGTATGTTAGCCCAATTTTACCTAGAATGTCCGTTTAAAGTGACCTCTTCTGATCAGTGAATCAGGTTTAGGTTGAGGAGGTGGAAAGATGCTCAGCTGAAGAAGCAGTGAACAAAAGCTGTCCATTTCCCAATTTTTGATTTTTTCTTGAGAATGATCCGACCTTGCTCTGTTATGTAGTTCGAGTCTCCAAGATAGAAGCTTCAGGATTTTCTGCAAGTCTAAAGAGGGTTGGAAGCTGGTCTCTTAAAGGGGAGTGACCCAGCCGTGCATCTTGCCAAAATCTTACTTTCCTGCCATCCCGGATCTGAAATGAAATGTTGGCTATAAATGGTGGCTCACAAAGTGATGTATTAATTGCTATAGAAATGTTAAGGAAGAATGATATGTTAGTGATTAGGACTAGGAAAGTAGAAACTTAGTATTGGAAAAACTAGACAATAAAGGTTCAAAGTCCAAACTGGTGGTTTAGTTTGTATGGACATAATTAATATATATTTGTCAATCAATCAACAATCAACTATGCATAAACCCCCAAATCACATATACTTGACCAAAAAAGGAAAAAAATACCTAGAGAACAGCGAAATTTGAGCATGCCTCCATTTATTTATTCTGCGTTTTCTTTAGGAACTTGTTAGGGACAGTAAAGAAATGCATAGAGAAAGCAAGATCTGAAAATTCCAGATTGCGAATTAGTCATGCATTACCTCTGTTGATTTCCATTTGGGAAATCTGAGAATTTTATGTCTCAGATTCTACTCCTTTTTAATTTTTTTTATATCATATTCAATTTTTTTTGTCTATATAGATTACTCAGCTGGTTTAAGTCCCCTCATTGGATGTCCTCTTTCTTTTTCTTTTTTCCCTTTTTGGGGGATTTGTGGGTTTTGGGGGGGG